AGAAAAGAACACGTCAGATAAGTATCACTTATTTATACCAACAAGACCAATAAAATTCTCAGCAAAATATTAGCAAACCAAATCAAGGAACATATGAAAACTGTTATACACCCTTACCAAGTGAATTTATCTCAGGAATGCAAGGTTGGTTTACATCACAAAATCAATTAATGTAGTACAGTGCACATTAATGGGATAAGTGATAGGAATCATATGATCGTTACAGTGGATGCCCCCCAAAAGTGACCAGATTCAGTACCTTTTCCTGATAAAAACATGCAACAAACTAGGAATAGAAGAGAAATTCCTTAGCTTGACTTTACGAAAGTACATAGCTATAGTGGAAAGCTGAACAGTTTTCCCCCTAAGATTAGAACAAGACAAGGTTGTCCACTCTTAGTACTTCTATGCAGTATTGTACCTGAGGCTCTAGCCTTGGCAATTAGGCAGTAAAAAAAAGAAACCGAAGTTACCCAGATTACAAAAAGTGTATTTGTAGATGACATGATGTTGTATATGGAAAATCCTAAAGAATCTGTAGAACACTATTAGAGTTAGTAAGTTCAGCAAGGTTGTAGAATACAGCATTAAAAAAAATGGTGATATTTCTAGACAAATAGCAATGAACAGTCTGAATGTGAAAATTAAAACAGTTCCATTTACAGTAGCATCCAAAAGAATAAAACACTTAAGAAGAATTTTTAAAGATTTTATTTATTTGACAGATCACAAGTAGGCAGAGAGGCGGGCAGGGATGGGGGGGTTGGGGAGCAGGCTCCCTGCTGAGCAGAGAGCCCAATGCAGGGCTTGATCCTAGGACCCTGAGATCATGACCTAAGCCGAAGGCAGAGGCTTAACCCACTGAGCCACCCAGGTGCCCCACTTAAGAATAATTTTAAGATGTTTAAGACTTGTACATCATAAATTTAAAAAATTGTTGAAATAAAGAAGGTCTGAATAAACTGAAAGATCTCTCAATGTTCATGAATTGGAACATACTTAATGTTAAAAAGATAGCATTGCTTCCCAAAATAGCTTGTAGATTCATTGTATTCTCTATCAAGACCTCTGCTGCCTTCTTTGCAGAAATTGAGAAATTGATCTTAAAATTCATACGGAAATTCAAGAGATGCATGACGAGCCAGAGCAGTCTTCTAAAAGAAGAGAGGACTTACACTTCCCAGTTTCAAAACTGTCTACAAAACTACTGTGATCAACGTACTGTATTACTGACTTACAGATGGGAAATGTAAATCAGTAGAATAGAATTGGGTATCCAGAAGTAAGATTTATGGCTAGTAATTCATTTCTTTTCAAAGATGTTTTATTTCTTAGGGAATGAGTGAGAAAGAGTATAAGCAGGAGAGAGAGGCAGGGGGAGAGGGAGAAGCAGACTGCCAGCTGAGCAGGGAGCCCAATGTGAGACTCGATCCCAGGACCTTGGGATCATGACCTGAGCCAAAGGCAAACACGTAACCAACTGAGCCACCCAGGCACCCACGGCTAGTGATTCTTGACAAAAGAATTTGGACCTCTTCTAATACCGTACATAAAAGTTTACTTGAAATGGATCATATACCTAAAAGTAAGTTCTAAAACTATACAACATTTAGAAGAAAACATAAGAGTAAATCTTCATGACCTTGGGTTAGCCACCAGTTTTTTAGATACAATACCAAAGCACAAATGACCCAAAACAAAACAAAACAAAAAAGATAAATTGAAATGTATTAAAATTAAATAATTTTGGGGGTGCCTGGGTGGCTTAGTTAAGCATCTGCCTTCAGCTTAGGTCATGATCCCAGGGTGCTGGGATCATGTCCGGCATCAGGTTCCCTGTTTCTCCCCCTCCCATCTCCCTGCTCCCCTGCTTGTGCTCTCTATTATTAATTAATTAAATCGATCTTAAAAAATTTTTTTTAGCTTTTATACTGCTGACCGTTAGTAGCATCAATGAAATGATAAGTTCACTGATGGCAGGAAATATTTGCAAATCTTACATCTGATAATGGACTTATATCCAGAATATAAAGAAGTCTTAAAACTCAACATTAAAAAGGTAGATAGCCCAATTAAACACTGGGCAAAACATATGAATAGACATTTCTCCAAAGAAGGTATTTAAATGCAGTTAGATGTTCAACATCAGTAGTCATTCGGGAAATAAATCTGAACCATGAGACACCACTTCTTGTGTACTAGAATAGATGTAATGAAAAGATAACAAGTGTTCATGAGTATGTGGAGAAGTCAGAACCCTCATTGCTGTTGAGAATATGAAATGGTGTACCTGCTTTGGAAGATAGTTTTGGTTTTTTTTTTTTAACTTCCTCAGGATGGTAAACATAATTAAGACATCCAGAAATTCCGCTCTGAAATATATATCCAAGAGAAATGAAAATATACATCCATACAAAAACTTGCCCACAAATATTAAAGGCAGTGTTATTTATATCATAATAGCCAAAAAGTAGAAACCCAAATGGTCCTCAACTGATGATTGGGTAAAACGGGCTATCTCCATACAATGGGATATTGTTTGAAGCTAGAAAGGAAAGAAGTACTGCTACATGCTACAACGTGGTGAACCTTGAAAACATTCCAGGAGGAAGAAGTCACACACACACACACACACACACACACACACACACACACACACACACACAGCCCAATTCCATTTATAAGAAATGCCTAGAATAAGCAGGTCTGTAGAAACAAAAAAGTAATAAAGTGGTTGCCCAGTGTTGGGCAAATGGGAGAATGGGGAGTAGCTGACTTAATTTATGGGTTTACTTCTGGGGTACAGAAGTGTTCTAAAATTTATTATGGTGATGGTCCCACACCTCTGTGAACCTGCCAAAAAAAACCATTTAATTTTACACTAAAAATGGGTGAATCGTATGGTATGTGCATTATATCTCAGTAAAACCATTAAAAAACAAAACAAATAGGTGTGACTAATTAATGTGAACCAGTTGAAAGTTATCTATATGTTTCAGTGTCCAGGTTGATTAAATTGGTTAAAACTGTTTAATTGAAGAAAAAACAGGTAGCACCTCCTTTACTGAGTGCTCTTAGTTGCTGTGAGTTGATTTAAATAAGACAGTAGCCTGAATGCAACATTAAACATGGTTGAAATGTAGATATTCTGTGCTCGCTTGGGCAGCACATACACTAAAATTGGAACAATACAGAGAAGATTAGCATGCTCCTGTGTACGGGTGACACACAGATTCATGAGGTGTTCCATATTTTTTGATGAGCACCAGGTGGTGTTTGTAAGTGTTGAATCACTAAATTCTACACCTGAAACGAATATTACACTGTATATTAACGAGCAGGAATTTAAATTAAAACTTGGGGGGAAAAATACACATTTTTGTAAACATGTATGTAGAATCACTCACTGGAACTACCCTGTGTACAATTCATCCTTCAACTAACATCTTCTCTAAGATACAAGTGTTCTAAACATTAAAAATAAACATAGATATTCTGCTCAAGGTCTAACTGAACACTGAATGCAGGACTACAGAGTTAAGTACAGTTCATGCCATGTAATGTCTCATTTTAAAAATCACTAAACAATGAAATGGCATTAAAGTGTAATGCAATTGAGGATTTTATTGGACTCTTTAATACCTATTCCTAATACCTTTTAGATGTTAAATCTGTATCAAAATCACATTATTTTGTGATTCATTTTCAAAAGTTAATAAAAAGAGAATGTTGGCAAATAAAACGATAATAAATGTTTTTATAATGATTTATAACAATATTTTCTTTATGTGGCAGACTTAGTATGTCTAATACAGAAATTATGTGGGATGATTTTAGTTTGATTATGCAAGAGTTCTTTATGTGAAACTATTTGTAATGTATAATTGATGCTAAATGTGGTGTCAACACAGTTTGGATGTTGGGGGAATCATAAAAAGCTGGTTTCAAATATCATTGGGTGTATTTGAAATCTTTAAGAAAACTGTGAATTATAATAGTCTTCAATGTCTTGCTTACTACTTACTTTTCATTGTGTCAAGGCATGTCCTTATTTTCTTATTTAGAGTACTTTTAGTTTTCCATGACATAAGTAAATGCACATGGTGATACATTGCAATAACTTACATATGCTGGAACTTAATTTACACTTAAAACATGTACTTTGCTTTTCTTTACACTTTTATTTTCTATTATCATAGTTCCCTATTTATTAGCTACAAGAGTGAAAATAAGTGCAAAGGATTAATAACCTAGTCTAGTGCTCCTGCAGTCTAAGAACAGATTCTGGGAATGTTTGGGATGAGTCTAGTTCAGCATTTTGAAACTTTGTGATCAGGACTTAAATTTTTATATTGTAAACATTTTTAAGCATAAATAGAAATGTTTACCTTTAGAACATGTAGTGTACTTTTATTTTTGAGTTATTTTTTCTAGAGCCAGTTTTAACCTATTAATTTCACAACTCTAAATATTTGAAAGCTGTAGTTTATGAAATAGTATTCTAAGGACAGAATTATAAATTTAGATAACTTTCTCTTTGAGTTTTCCCTTCTTATGGCTCTTTTAAAAATGTTTGTTTTGTGTCTGGAAAAAACATCTTGAACTTGGAGAGCAAACATGATTCTCAAATAATATTTAGGGTTTAAGGTATCTTTTTATCTGAGTTGAATTGTGTATGAACTATTGCTATGTAGTATAAGAACTGATATATTTGAATGCTCAAGAAAAATTCTCCTTTAGTAGTATTAGAGTTTATCTGTAAATTTTAAACAATTCATAAAATAAATAAAAACCACCAAAGTATATTTTTACATTCACTTTGCTTTTATACTTTTGTGGAGATAAGTTTTATTCTGATTTGAAGTTTTTAAAATATTTTAATTGTATTAAACTGATTTGTCTTATCTGTTACTAACATTTGTCTTTGATTTTGCATCTGTGCTTTTGATACTGAATGGGGAAAGATTTCTCTGCAAATATTTCACCAAATATTTTTACAGGGACACTTAGTCGGTCTGGATGAACCAGCTTCGGGAGCTGGGCAAGAAGCTCTGCTTAAACAAGAGCAAGCAAAAATCATTCGATTCGAGAGACAAGCAGAAGAGTTCCTCAATGCAGTCTTTTATAGAAAAGGTTGGTTCTAGTGAAGAATGACATTTTAGTATCTGCTTGTCTTATATTAATTTCCTTAACTTTAATGTCATTTTAAAAAAGTCACTTTAAAACATTTTTCTTTATTGATGATATACACTTCATATTCCTTTGGTCAAGTTAAATTTGGAATAGGTAAGGCAGCCCCTCTCCCTCAGTTTCATTCTGAAGTGATGGTGTCATATAAGTTAAATAGTTAAATAGTTCCTGAAAGTATTATGAACATCGGAAAATTCTAAGGTTTCAGGAGTACAGTATTTTATCAGACAAATATTCTTTTTTTTTTTTAAGATTTTATTTATTTTTTTTTTGACAGACAGAGATCACAAGTAGAGAGACAGGCAGAGAGAGAGGAGGAAGCAGGCTCCCCGCTGAGCAGAGAGCCCGATATGTGGGGCTCCATCCCAGGACCCCAGGGTCATGACCCGAGCCAAAGGCAGAGGCTTTAACCCACTGAGCCACCCAGGTGCCCCCAGACAAATATTCTTACATGGTTATAATTTTAATCACAAATAACCATAAAACCAACTATATAAAATTTTAGTAATTCCTGAGTGAAATTCATTTGGAAAAAAGATGTGAAGTTATATCTTAAAATTAGATTTGCAAGCATCTTTTCCTTGGTACAATCTTGTTTCACTAAAATTTCATTGAATTATTAAAATTGGAGAAAGAAACTCATTATTACATAGTAAAACTTATACCCCATATAAGATGGTATGTAATAGCTCCATCTCTTAGATTTTTCCATTTTTCTTTCTCCTTGAAATTATTGTAGACAGGTTTTACATCTCTTTTCTCTGCCCACAAAGCACAATTGTCATTAGCTAAGACTTTCAGAAAGTTTCTCTCCATTTTCCATTCTAATGAAGTCTTTACCTTCAGGAAACTCTGAATGGATTTGTATTCCTTAGTTATTTCTTTCCTCTAGTTCCAAGATGGAGGTTACTATGAGAGGTTCTAAAAAAAAGTTTCCTACAAACTCCTCATAATCCTGAATATTCCTTATTTAATCTTCCAGCAGACTCAATGATTTATACATTCCAGTTTACACCTCTTGTTCTTCTGGGAATTCCCTCCAGAGTTACAAGGGTGATTTTTCCCTGTATACTGGTTTAAAGTCTGATAAATGCTATTCTAATTGGTTGTTTACAGTTGGAGAGCAGCTGATGTTCTGCTTAATGTGGTCAATATTTTCAAAATGGAGTATGAAGTCAGGCCTCATATAAAATTAAGGAGTGAAGATTTTTGTTTTCTGTGGCACTTTTTTCCCTTCCATCCTCACTTCTCTTTTCATCCTCTCAAGTACCCTCTGACCTAAAGCTCCCAACTGAGGCTCCCATGCCCACTTTATCTTCCCTTTAAAGTATGCTGAGTTCTAAAATTATGTTCAAAATAGTAATTGACTTAGTTTTACAAACATTTGATTGTTTTATTAAAGTAATTCACATTTAAAGTATAAATGATGGATCAGTTCTGTCAGTTTATTAACAAAATAAAACATCTTTACAGTTCCTCTGTTGTTCTCTACTTTAGGATGTGTACTGAGTCATGGGTCTAATTCTGCAGCAAACTTCATTATTTGAAAAGAGCAGCTCCTGTCCCTAATATACATGGAGAAAGAACTTTTCATGCAATCATAAGCGTATTCTGAAAGAGAATTTTAGCCACCTTCTCTGCTAGTCCTATCCCTTTGTCATGTAGGAATAACTTAAAGTTCTTAAAAGTTTTCTTACTTAAACATTAAACTTTTGGGCACATGAGGGAATTTTTACCTCAGAGTCATTCTTAGGGTAGACTTTAAGAGATGAGAATCCTCTGAAATTGTATGTATACAAAGTTTTGTATTTGTATACTGGTGCATGATGCTCAGAAAAAAGGAGTATTGCTTTGTTATTGGAAGTTCCTTCCTCCTTGTTTTATGCATTAATATTGTTATTTTTAGATAGTATATTAATCTTCATGAAAATGTCTCAAAGGTGACCATTAGTACTCTTCAGGTTATACCAAAAATGTGCTAACATGAAGAGAATGACAGGCAATTTAGTCTGAAGGGGATTTTTTTTTAAATAAATAGTTCAGAGATTTGGATTTAGTTGTTACTAAGTATTGCAAATGAATGTTTTTTGTTTGTTTGTTTTTTCCTCGGGAGGAAGGAGGAAGGACAGAGGGAGAAAGAACATCTTAAGTAGGCTTTATCCCCAGCTTAAGATCCATGAGATCATGACTTGAGCTGAAATCAGAAGTTGGATGCTTAACTGACTGAGCCACCCGGCCACCCCCAAAATTTTGTTTTAAAATAATTGAGCATGGAAAGGTACTGTAAGCTAAGTAGGAACATAGATGTAATAAAAGTAGGCTTTTGTGGTGTGGACTCTATAATAAATTCCAGCTTATGAACAGTATATCTTCTAAAGTTGTCATATTCTTTCAGCTTGTTTTGTCACTTGTGTTAGAAAATTTGATACTTTCCTGAAAGTTTTTTCAATTTTTAAAATTTTTATTTTTAAGTTTAAGATTTTGAGAGAGAGCACATGTGCACATGCATGCACACAAGAGTGGGCTTGGGGGAGGAAGAGTCAGATGATCAATCAACTGACTCTGAACCACCCAGGCACCCCAGATTTGCAGTTTTAAAACACAGGTGGCTGGCGATGTAGCATTTACTTGTTTTCCTGTCGTTTTAATTGTGATTTGATTTGTTTTTATTTGACTCAGTTGTGCATGTCCCTCAAGGCATATCTAGGTTTATAGAAGTTGTGTTTTAAGTAAGTGAAGGAATGAAATGTGTTCAGGAAACTTCAAAAGATGTAAAAATTCACATGCCAGAAATGTCATCAATCTGTGAATATGAATTGTGCTTTATGATTATGTTCTTCATTCAAAAAAGAGGCAAGACAGACTGCAGCCATTTAAAGCTCAGAGATAGCAATTTATGGTCTTTATCCTAAAATCTCTTGACTCTTCACAAATCTGTTAATTACATTTATGAATCTGATTGACCAGATATCTCATAAATTCATTTTGCTTCCTATTTGGACACTTTGTTCTTCGAGTGTTACTGGGGATAGGAAGATACACTAACATATTAAAACTTGAAATTATATGCAGTCTTTCATTTGGAGGATGGATCTTAAGTAGAAAGTTAAATGAATATGAATATGAATATTTAGTGGATAGAGAGATTTAAACAGTGTGTGGCTAAATATTTATTAAAACATTTAAGGAACTCGTCAGTGGTTGCAGTAATTTCTGAACTTTACCTAATTGAACACCTCAAACCGTGTAGCATACTCTATAGAGAAGAAACGTAGGGTTAGAAATACTTGTTAGTAGAACAGAAATGTTACTGTTGGTAAAGCAAACCTCATTAGACTTCAGAGAATTAAATATTCTGATTTTAGACTATCTTCTGGTATTGAATGTTATCGTTCAAGGAAACAATTGTTCTTAGGAGTCCCATGAGGTTTTGATGGTGTGTGTGTGTGTTTACTGTAGAGATTATAGATTTTAATTGTAATAAGTCATATTTCTCTAAATTTACAAAGCAACCTAATTCCTTTCCAGCTCCAGCTGTATTATGGGTAAAGTAATTTACTTTCTATAGTTAAATCTTTAAAAGACCAAGGAAACTCAGGTTTTCTGAGAATTGTCTTCTAAAACCTCTGAAGTATGGTGGGGAAGTAGAGATCACAGGTGGAACATTAAGATCACGGGGAGAGTTTTAATCAGGGGTCTATACCACTAACCATCTATACAAATTTGAAGAGGCCACTTATTCTTTAGAACATTAATTTCATTTGTCTAAAGAAAAACAAAACCTGATGAGGATTGATTGATTGAACTGATCCATTTATTACTCAACTAATATGAATGCATTCTTTATATCAGGCAAGATTAGGTGCTGAGTGTACAGAGGTAAACAAACATAATCTCTGCTCTTGACAAGCTTAGTGTCCCTGAGAGTATGGTAACAGTGGAGATGTGATGACATAGTCATACCAAACATTTTCCCTTTGATTTTTCCCCTATTTGACCTTCAAGGTGTCCCTTCCAGTGCTAAAAGTTCTATGATTTAATGAATTCATATGTTTTTAAAATTAACATTGATTAGAAATTGATAACTTAGGTGTTTATTTCATTATTTCACTAGCTGTTCTGTTTAATGATTGGTAGAGTATTTTTAAGGAACTCATGGAAAATATATGGGCTTAAGCTTTTGAGATTTGGCATTTAAACTCCTAGCCTAGGGGTTCTAAAATTGTGGTCCCTCAACCAGTTGCATCTAAAAACTTACTAGAAATGCCAGTCCTTGAGCTTACCCTAGAACTGCTGAATGAATGACTCTGGGGATAGGGTCCCACAATCTGTTTTTATAAGCCCTCAAAGTGATTCTAATGAGCCTGAAAATGGGAGGCTATTGCCCCAGTCTACCATGGATCTTATATTAAGGATCTCCTTTTATAATTTTGATATGCCTTCAGTTTTGAACAGAAGGTAAATTAAACACTTATGAACTAAGTAATCCATTCTTCAACAATTCAGGAAGAAGTAGCTGAGGAAAGGTCTAGGAGAAACCAAAAATGATCTATAGGTGGTAAACAGAGGAGTAATTATCTCATAAAAGAAGGGTTTGAGATTTCTGTATCAGGTAAGTGATTCTTGCCCGTAAGATACACTATTTGTTGTCCCTTTATTAATTTCATAATATTGAGGGGGTGGTGTTTAGAAATGATTTTATGAAAATTTTATTTTTAAAAATCTGGAACTCAAGCTTAGAGATTAAAAATATAATTCTGAGAGGGAATACTACTTTTAGGGTATTGCATTATAAGAAAAAAGATAAAATGAAATTTTATGTTTGCTTGAAAGCTGTCTTTTTTTTTTTTTTTTAAAGTACATTGTCCCAATTTAAAAGTAAATAAATCTTTGTTTACAGACAGTCCCTGGGTCTCCGACCCCAATATTCCCCTAGTGGCCCGTGAGATCATGCAGCGAATGATCCAACAATTTGCTGCTGAATATACCTCAAAAAATAGCTCTACTCAGGACCCCAGCCAGCCCAATAGCACAAAGAACCAAAGCCTGCCGAAAGCATCTCCAGTCACCACCTCTCCCACGGCTGCAACTACTCAGAACCCTGTGCTCAGCAAACTTCTCATGGCTGACCAAGACTCACCTCTGGACCTTACTGTCAGAAAGTCTCAGTCAGAACCTAGCGAACAAGGTATGGTTTGATGTCAAGGTCTCCTCTGTCCAATCAGAATACTTTAATTTGGGGAGAAAAAAATTATTGGCAATTAGGGCACCAATAACAATAATAGGATAAAAACTAATGTGATTCTTAAATTATTCCTGACTCTGCAGTAATAGAGAAGAAGTACAGATAAAATGGCTACGTTATGTATCAATAGTTCGTAGTCATGATTAATGTACCACCCAGGAAAGTTAGGTGGTTACAGTTGTTGCTGATCTTTTTTTTTTTTTTTTTTTTTAAGATTTTATTTATTTATTTGACAGAGAGAGACACAGCAAGAGAGGGAACACAGATGGGGAGTGGGAGAGGGAGAAGCAGGCTTCCCGATGAGTAGGGAGCCCGATACGGGGCTCGATCCCAGGACCCTGCAATCATGACCTGAGCCAAAGGCAGACGCTTAACTACTGAGCCACCCTGGCACCCCATTGCAATCTTTAATTTACTTGATATTTATATGAGTATTTTATGCCTCCAAACCTTTGCCATATCACTTGTTTTTAAAACCCCTATGAAAAATGAAGTTTTCCCCCATCCATCAGTGTTCTAGGATTAGCACCTGAGAAATAAGTATGTCTTATTCGGCAGAAGTTATACTGTGCAAATGAAATTATAAGGCGAGACTATGTATTGTTTGCTTTTTTTTTTTAATTTTTATTTATTATTTATTTATTTATTTGACAGAGATCACAGGTAGGCAGAGAGGCAGGCAGAGAGAGAGGAGGAAGCAGGCTCCCCGCGGAGCAGAGAGCCCGATGTGGGGCTCGATCACAGAACCCTGGGATCATGACCTGAGCTGAAGGCAGAGGCTTTAACCCACTGAGCCACCCAGGCGCCCCTTGTTTGCATTTTTTAAAAAAAGAAACTTCTGGGATTAGATACCATGAGGAAGACATTAGACACACCAGGTGGTTCAGTGTATTCAGTATTTTATAAATACACAAACACATCCATATGTGTATATGCTGTATTATGAGCTAACCTTAGAATATTTCCAAAAGGTAATTTTAATTGATGAGGATCCTGATTAAGGGAAAAGGTTTAGAAGTTACCAGTTTTGCTTAGCACATATTTCTTGAATTTATGAAAAGTTTACTCTCTTAAATAGATTTAATATTTTTGTTGCTTTATGATCTCATTTTACCTTTAATTTCACGAAGATGAAATGAGTATTTGATTTCTGCCGTTGGTGATATCTATTCTAATAAGACTTCCTTGTCATAGAAATCTCTTAAGAGTGTGCAGAAAGTTATGAGATGTATAGATTTATTGGTGAGAAATACAAGTTCATTTTGCAAAAAGTTTAATGCATTGTAAAAATCTCTGCAAGGACTTTCTTCTGCTTATTGTAAGTAATTTAAGAGGGATTTATACTTAATGGACCAGCTTTAGTTGTTTATTAAAGAATGTATTTTTGAATTAGTAGTTTTTATTTTTTTTTTTTAAACTGGTTATGGGTGATGAATAGCAATCACAATCTTATAATTCTGAGAGATTTCCTGGTAGAATTCCTCATTGTCATATGTTCACATCAGTCAGTGTACTTTTACTTTCGGTTACCAAAAACCAAATTGTGCTTTTCTGTGCTTTTTATTTCTGTTGAAGATTATCTTTACCAAAGATTGGTAGCTTTCATTAAAAAACTCTTTGCCCAGAATATTGCCTTAAAAACTTCAGTTGAGAAGAATGACAGTGTAGAGGTTGTATTTAAAGTATTAATGGTGGAGATTAACATAAAAAGATACCACCTAGTCTAATTTAACTTCTAGTTGTTGCTATGCTTAAGAGATACGTTGTACTAATGGTACGCTCTTGTCAACAGAAATTGAAGCTAGATGACGGGATTATAGTGCATAGTCTTTAAGTGAAACAAAATTTTAGAAATGATATTTCCCAAATGAATTTCCAAATGTTTCCAGTGAAATCACAGTATATTTAGCATATTTAAGTAGACTTAAAATACATTGCCTGTTTGATTAGACAGACTTGGATGTCTTAAATAATAGTGTCTTTGGTTGGAAATATTTTAAACAGTGTATTTACTTGTTAGATGTCTCATTGGGTTAAGATGTCTAAAAGGACACTTGGTTCTATAAGATTACAGTTATATTTTTAGAAATATTAGTAACTCTAAAGGACAACACTTATTCTGTATGAGTGTGGGATTTTTGGTGTATTTATTTCTCACACCATGAAATCAGGAGTGACAGTGTCCTCAGACACAAGTCCTATGTAGATTCTATATTGGAGCAGTTTTTAACATAACTGGATAGAAAGTCCTCTCTGCTGACCAACTGAAAATCAGAGGCATGGAGTATTAGCTTGCTTTGTTAATTTTGAACAGAATGGCGGCTTTAAAAGTTGTCCAGATGATGAGTTTTCCTTTTTAGACATGTCTTTTCGGGGAAAAAAGTCTTTGTGGGAAAAGAAGGTCTTCTAATTTTTTTTGTTTTATAGTGTGAATTTGTTATGTGGTCTAGCTTCAGTTAAAAAAAAAAAAAATGGCTAAAACATCTAGGTTGTCATCATTATCGAGACTGTTTCATTCTTTCTTTCCCTAAAATTTGCTCACTAGTTTGTAATGGCTTATTAATTGAAAAACCTTGCTTTTATAGATACCAAGAGTTTCTGCAGATTTTTTCCAAAAGATTGTCCATATACAGAGTTTTTTTGCAGATGTGTCTAAACAGTAATTAGGACACATGAAAATTATAAACAGTTAATATCTGATTCATTTTATAGACTATTTTGTATATACATGTAATTTAACCATATAAACTTATATTTTAAAATGATTTGTGTTATAAAATTTTCTAAGTCCAACTTTTATATACTTATAATGTTTTGGGTAGACTTAGCTCTTAAGGAATTTGGTTTTATAATTTGTATGATGTGGCATTAAAACTCACATGCTTTGATGAAGGTGAATTTAGAAAATGGAGTCTAACAGTTCTGTTACAGAACTTAATACAACGTAAACTGCGATTTCTGTTACCTCACTATATCCTAACATGTTCAGTAATATGCTGTACCTTTTCTTTTGCCCTACTAATAAAATATTTAACCCTTGGAGATACTAGCTCAAGCTTTGCTAAATGTATGTCACTGTAGGAGGAAAAATAGTCCTGATTCTTTAATGAATTGACTTCATAACTTCATATATGGCTAGTGTATTGGCATGGTTGACTGGGCCTGTTGCTTTGTCATTTTTGGTCTATTCAGTCCACATTTGTTCCTAGTTTTTAATATCCTCAGGTGTTTGTTTGTGTCTCTACAGACGGTGTACTTGATCTGTCCACTAAGAAAAGTCCATGTGCTGGCAGCACTTCCCTGAGCCATTCTCCAGGCTGCTCCAGTACTCAAGGGAACGGGTAAGGGAAAATATTTGTAGCCTTCCACAATTTTATAGGGGGGCAATTTATCAAAGATTGGTACTAATCTCCATTGTATGTTTTAAAAATTAAGTCTTCAAAGTAACACTCTTGTAAGTGGGCCTTTAGTAAATTACTTGGTCCATCTCTCAAGTAAAAGCTCAATCTGTGAAGTCCAGAATTGACTAGGGTAGATGAGTTTTGCCCAGTCACTTCAAGTAGTGAGTGAATAAAAATATGGCAAGAATGTCTTTGGCCTTTTTGTTGTTGAATGTTTGAGAGTGGGAAACCCAATCTAAATAACTCCAGGGTTCAGATGTAAGGCAGTATTACGTGTGAAGTTGTTGAATGAAAATTGGGCTCCAGTACTTAACTGGGTATCTCTAATGGAGTGCGTGGGTATGTGGGAGCTGTTCGTTTTTTTCTTGTTTGTTTTGGTTTGATTTGGTTTGGTTTGGTTTCATTTGTTGATTTGAACTGCAGTTTTAATACTGTGGCAGTTCAGAAAATGTAATTGTATGTATTTTTTGTTTTTTCAGTGGTTAAAACTATAGATGTTGGGATAACCATCGTATGGTACCAAGAGATTATTACATGCTCAGTTTTGATAACTCTTAGCAAATTAAAGTGAATTTTCTGACCACCTAATTTTATAGTGTAAGAATTGTCTAAATTCTCTCTGCATGTACATAGAAGCCATTTAGAAAAGTCAGGTGTTAATGAAGACATTTAAATACCATATTGGGAAGGATTTCCATAAAATTGTATTGTAACCAAAAATCAACTTCATATATGAAAAGTAACTTTGGTAAGTTAAATTAGTTAATATGTAGGTTTATTTAACTTTCAGAGTACCAACGTAGGAAAGTTATTTAGATGTTAAAGGAATAAGTACATACTAAATGGGCTAACCTTTTTCAACTTACTCTTAATTACCTTCAAATTGAAGAATTCCTTTACTGACTCCTAAAATGCTGCCTTTATTTTCTCTAAAATTCCATCATTTTCTTTTTTCTCTCCTCCTCTATTCAGTCTAAAAGTAACTTACTGATTTAATACAATTTGCATAGTTTACTAATCTTTTTTTCTTAAGCCCTTCTTTTCACTATAGTTTATATTAGATACAAGTCATTATGGTCCCAAATCATTAGGTTCCATTTATATATCAGAAAACGTGAATTGTGTGATTAAGGACACATGTAGAAGAATCCTAAGTGTGGTGTGCATAAATGAATCCCTTGCTTAAGATTTACTTTAAACTTGGCCACCAAGTTCCATGCATAATGTGGTTGAAGTTGCTGTGGTTTGCCCCTCTGAATGGAAAGTGTTTTTTGTGTGGTATTGTTTTCTGGAAGACATAAGACTGCCCATCTTTTAGTTGAATATTCATTGTTATCTTTATTATGTTATTTACTGATAACAGCACAGAATCCCTGTAGACTTTTGGAGAACATAGCTGGTTTATCATTATTTCTTCAGAGTTCCACTTTTGTGCCTAGTAAATGTAATTATTACCCTTGGGCATGCTTTACCAGTCGCCAGTTTTATCATTGATAATATTTATCTATTGTGAAAATGGAAACCTTATGAATTAACTTTGTGTACAAAGTAGTAGTTGACTTTTTAAAATTATTTGAAAGCTATCCACTTAAAATTTCAAAATTGATGCTTAATATTTTAAGAAGAGACACTTTTAACTAAAGAAAACTGCTATAAATTGCTTGCATACCTCTGACAGTAATTACTTTGAGTAGAACTTAAGGAACAAAGTTTGGGGAAAATAAAGGGCAGTTTCTTTAAAGATTGGATTACTTCAAATGGAAAATTAGTGGTACTCATGTCTGCAACTAATAGTGTTTTAAAATGAAGAAGTGTGGTAAGTTATAATGTGATGGGTATTTTGATTTGTTTTGGTTTGGGTTTTCCCCCCCTTGGGGCTGGTAGCCATATTTTTTTTTCCCAAGCAAAATAAGAAATGTTATTTGAACATGTTTGGTTTTTGATAATGAACATCAACTTGTTTGTGGGATAAATGAGCATTTATCTATGGGTTCCACCACTGTAAATGGTTCCAGTTTTATAGCTGGTTGTCATGAATGTTGAATATGTTGCATTAAAATAAATAATTTGGCTTACTCTTTTATTACTGTACTTGTTTAGTGGTAACGTCACATTGGTAACACAATTCTGTGTAGATCTTTGGAGACTTGATGATTACTTTGTAATTAATAATTAAGGTGCTATTTTCAGACAGTTGCGCGAAACTTTTTCTCCGAAAATTTGTGAACCCAACCAGAGACCAGCTGACAGGTTTAATTTTTCTTTGCCCAAAAAGCTCCTGGTTTTTTTTCTTTTTTCCTTTTTCTTTTTTTGTGAACAAGTTCTAAAACTAACTGCCGAGACAATTTTTTTTTAATTTTAGAGAAAAATAAATAAATAACACAAAGTGATGTTACCCAAGCAAGGCCTTCTAATAAAGGAGTGGTCCCCTCACCCATCCCTCCCTACCTGTGCAAGTCCTGCTCACATCAGTTTCCTTCCATCCAATTAGGCGACCTGGGAGACCCAGCCAGTACCGCCCAGACGGACTTCGGAGTGGTGATGGGGTACCTCCAAGAAGCTTACAGGATGGAACCAGGGAAGGTTTTGGACACTCCACATCACTCAAAGTTCCATTGGCTCGATCCCTGCAGATTAGTGAAGAACTACTGAGCAGAAACCAATTGTCCACAGCTGCCAGCCTTGGGCCATCTGGATTACAGAATCATGGACAACACTTAATATTATCCAGGGAAGCCTCTTGGGCAAAACCACATTATGAGTTCAACCTCAGCCGTATGAAGTTCAGGGGAAATGGTGCACTCAGCAACATCAGTGACCTTCCTTTTCTTGCAGAAAACTCTGCCTTTCCAAAAATGGCACTTCAAGCAAAACAAGATGGAAAAAAGGATGCGAGCCATGCATCGCCTGTAGATTTAAAGATACCACAAGTTCGAGGAATGGATCTTTCTTGGGAGTCTCGCACTGGTGATCAGTACAGCTATAGCTCTTTGGTAATGGGTTCACAAACGGAGAGCGCGCTTAGTAAAAAGTTAAGGGCTATTCTTCCAAAACAAAATAGAAAAAGCATGTTAGATGCTGGACCCGATTCTTGGGGCTCAGATGCTGAGCAGTCTACCTCTGGACAGCCATATCCCACATCGGATCAAGAAGGAGACCCTGGCTCCAAGCAGCCTCGGAAGAAAAGAGGGCGTTACAGACAGTACAACAGTGAGATACTGGAGGAAGCAATCTCAGTGGTTATGAGTGGAAAAATGAGTGTTTCCAAAGCTCAGAGTATTTATGGGATTCCCCACAGTACACTGGAGTACAAAGTAAAGGAGAGGCTGGGCACTTTGAAAAACCCTCCAAAGAAAAAGATGAAATTAATGAGGTCGGAGGGGCCAGATGTTTCTGTAAAGATTGAATTAGATCCCCAGGGAGAGGCAGCACAAAGTGCAAATGAATCAAAAAATGAGTAGGAATACTGTAGAGTGCCAATTACTGTACAAACTGGGTGAGCACTACTGCATTGTTCAGCTATCATTGCTTACACCTAACTTCATTCACTGTGACACTTGTTTCTTTGCAGAATTTGCATTGACTTGTGTATACAGAGGTGAAAGGTGCATTCTGAATGTTGCATATTTTAAAATTTTCACGTGCAGTATGGCTCGGGATATTGTTTGGCCTTTTTGCATGTTTCTCTACAAAAGAGAATTGAGTTACCTCACAGAGAACAGATACATGGAAGTGGACTCCTTGCCTGTAGAGCCTGCATGCTTTTCTTTTCTTTTTTCTTTTTTTTTTTTTTTAAGTTATATTTGCCTTTATTTAAAAAAAAAAAAAAAAAAAAAAAAGGAAAAAAGCCCCCTTTTAGAAACCACCTCTGTCATACTGGGAGCTTTATCATTACAAATTGGAAAGCCATCTTATAAAATCATTCATGTTACTCTTCTACATTTCACCTAATTGAAGGATTAAACTAAAGAAAAAAGTCCTAGGAGCAATGAACCTTTGAATTAAAAAAATCTGGTTATTCAGTGATACGTAATTATTTAGGTCAGTTTACATTTTATGATTTTCTTCTATTAAATTTACTTAACAAATCAGCAATCTGTTTAGTGCTCACCCAGTAGGAGAGGAGGTGGAAAATGTGCACACACTACCTTCAGAAATGCTTCGGTTAATTACTTTGTAACACTACCTTTGCTGTAATTTTATTTGGTATTTTCTAAGGGTAGAATTTGGTCTCACCAACAAGTGAGGATATAGCCTTATCTCATGGAGGACGAGCTCCGTTCTTACTCAGGAGCAGTCAGGGTACATTACATAAAACAATAGAGGATGCCTCATTTTAACAAACTAAGTTTCTTTGTATTTTTAAAACCTTTTACAGATTTGATCATGTACTAACGACTGGATATCATTGCAGCAACTAGTTTAAAATGTTCAAGATCTTTTTATTGGGAAAAGGGAGAAGTAAGGAAAGAAGTGTGTTTAAGTAATTATAATGCAAAAATGGTATCTAGATTTTTACAGCCTCAGTAGTCTGCCCAAATATCCACACAAATGAAGGATACATGTTTGTGGTGAGAGAAAAAAAGAACCCCAAGGTAACCTAATATAATTTAGGTTGCATTTCACATCTAATGATAGTTCAATCAGCAATTGAGCTCAGTAGAATTTCTTTTTTAATTAATTCAGATACTAGATCGGGGGGGGGGAAGTGTTGTTTTTTAGTTTTTATTTAATTTGTTGCTTTCAACATTTCCATCCTTCCCTCCCTCCCTCCTTCCCTCCTTTCCTCCCTTCCTTCCTTTTTGGCATCCTGTATTCTATCCCCTTCTTAACTTTTTCTGATATTTAGGTGATTTTTATGGTTGTTTAGCACACAGTTCAGGACTTTGCAGATCATGTTTATATAAGCACTCCTTTGAAAAGCATCTAAACTTTTTTTG